GAAGTGATGAACTGTTCAATTGCGCTCTGCCACAGAAGGAGTGGGGGGGTTATGCTCAGAAAACGCAAAGTGGCACAAATAATGGTCTGCTACAGCCATTTACCTCCAGCACGTGCACGCTCACTGGCCCCCACTGAGGATCCCAGAAGAGCCGTTCTGTCTGATTTGTGAGGCTGATCACATGAACCACAGCACACAAGCCTGTGCATTGCTTCATTCTGGGGTGTGTTTTTTTTTCCCTAAACCATATGGTCAATTGTTTTAAAACTGAATTGAAGACACTTGTGTATTTTCTGTGGAACATGATAACTTCTTTTAGCTGCTTCTGTTCTCTTTTATGCTTCTGAACAGAATCTTTGCCACAGGTTGATCCATTTTTGGAGATAGATTGCGGGGTGTGTTGTACTGTTGGTTTTTGGTTTCTGACCTCCAGAGCTGACTTTTAGTGTCTCCATCCGCTCTTCCCCTCCACATCGGGTTCAGTGGTGTGTGTGCGGGGGGTGGTCTGCGTTCTAAAAACAGCCTGTGAGACTCCGGTGAGGAATGGCATGGTTAAAATTGACCCGCCTGCCAACAGGCGCAGAGCAAAGGGGGCTAAACACGGCGTGTTGGTAGTAAACAGTCGCAGACTCTTTTGCGGGCCCAAACGTCAGTCGTTGTGTTTTCACTGTGTGGAGCTTTAACTGAGGGGGTCAGGGAGTCGGAAAAAGCGACTTTTTATGTGCCTTTCATTCACAGAAACGACGTAGCTGAGGGATACAAAAGAGTTTTTTGTTTAGAAATGTGTCTACTTACTAACATGAGTGCTGGCTTGTTTTCACCCTTCCAACAACATGGCTGTATAGTCAGAGAAAAGGTCATTATACTGGGATGGAAAACTGGCTTGTTGAATACACTCCTTAATGGTTTTTGGTGCATTTCTGCCTTTTATTAGATGGAAGACAGTAGAGACGTGTGACTAGAAATTAAAAGCAGAGGGGACCCACTCTTAAACCCCACACCCATTTTCCTAATTACAAAATGTTCTTACAATCAGTCACATAACTGAGTTCACATATCAGAACTTTGTCTTCTTTTGGTAAATGACGGACATTTGGTAAACATAGTCAGGGTTTTTATGCTCAAAATAAGGAATTAGAGTACTTTGGTTTCACTGCTGAAACTCACATTTTAATGGCACCATCAAACATTCCTGCTGCAACAGTTAATATTTTCTTTCCAAATAGTACCGGACATCACCTGTTAATGATGGCAACCTTTTACAGCATGAGCAGTTGATATGTTTACCATGTATTTATTAGCAGGATACAACTTTTCATGTACAACTCATTTACCAATTATTTTTCAGCTAAGAAAACCCATTTAGTTGTTTTTCTTGATATGTTAAGATACAAGATTGATATTGAGCAAAAATCAACAATCCCCATCCCTAGCATATTAAAATGATATAATTTTTGAATGTTTAATACAGGAGTTTCCTTATATAAGTTGATACATATGACTGCATTGTTGTCCACAGACAGAAACACATCACAGCACTGTGGCTTCCTCAAAGCCGCCCGTTGGACTTTGATAATATTTCTGTTTTAAATCTGATATGTAGCTCTATAATAAGAGCGCATTGTTCTGACTGAACCAGAGATAACACGCCAGCGGTTCCAGCTCAGAGTCTTTGTTTGAAGGTTCTCTCCTGAGAACGTGGTGTTCAGCCAGCGGCCCCTTCCAGAATCAGACGGACAGTCCTCTGCTGCACACTATTGTTTTGTTGCTCCGCAGCTTTCACTCTGCGGGAAGCGGAGGCCCGGCAGTTCAAGTGTCAAAGTCTGGGGCCTAATAAAAGACATCTGAGGGCTATTAAGGTGCCAGTTTTTGTGCGTAATATAGGGCCTCAGCGGGGAGACTCCAGAGGTGTCCGCACCCGGCCCCGCTGCGGGGTTCAAACCCAGGATAAGAAAAACTCTGACATATCTGTCTCCGTAGAGGAAAAGCTTTTTTTTGTCTTTATGACTTCTCAGCTTCTGTTGGACCGCTTCTGTGCTGCTACTTGCTCACAGTTCCCACAGACACAGAGGTGGATCGCCGTGAAATAATCCCTTCATTAACTTTGGATCATGGCCTCCTCATTTCGAATACTTTGCCAGCAAAACTAGCGTGACATGAAAGGGACATGTGCATGTACGACCTGGTGTCATCCTGCACCAGCCGTAGAGACCATGAGCCCTGGAGAGGAGCTATCGCTCCTAGTCCCCCCCCCCCCCCCCCCCTTCCTACCCCACCCACCGCTGTTGAAGAATCACCTCGCTGCTGTAAATATTTACCCTGCTCCCGCGGACCACTGCTGAGTATCTAAATGACTTCTCTGAGTTTTTGCGCCAATGTACAAACATAGGATCAACATCTGTGACAGCTGTTTATTACTTTTACAGAGAGGGCCCTTTTGGCGGTGTCGCTCGCATTGCGTGTGGAACACTTTCCAGTCTTGTTTAGCTTTCCACAGAGCTTAGATCACAGCGGTGGCTTAGCAGACACGCCGGATCCACAAACACAATGCTGCCGTTTTGGCACAGGATTTTCGTAACTGTTTGTAACGATCCAGCCTGCCCCCCATCTCTCTCTCTCCCCTATCCTCCCAATTTAAAGCAAAAATGTGTCATCTTTATGGCTTCAACAGGGAGATGTGGCTGTCTGCCAGGCACCACGGTACAGGCTTCCTGTGCGATCCCAGCCCAGCTTCCTGTGTTTCAGCAAAGGAAGGGCCGACTCAGCAGAGATGGGGGCGTTTGGGGAGGCTTACTGTACAACTCCCACAGCCGGAGCTCTTTTGGTTTGCATTATCAGAGCCTGGCAACCCCCCTCCGAGAGCACCCCCTGAAACGAGGGCCCATAGACAAGAATAGTCCAACAGATGGTTTTCAACAAAAATATTGAATCTGGCAAAAGCTTCTCCGCCATCATCTCACGACACAAGCTCACATTTATGTATCCATTTATGTTCTTGGTTCCACCGCCTCTCCCATGGGTCGGGGCAGAATAGTTTTTGTGATTCGGTTGATTCAAAGCACCACCTTTTGGGAGTGTCGCAGAGGCAGGGCGGGCTGAGTCCGAAATAACTTGTTAACGCTGCACAGCTATTTTCAACACGGTGATGGGGCCGCGAATTTGTGGACCACACCCCTCTCCTACAAAGGTCACGGTTCTGGCCTCAAATGTTTCTACTCGACTGCGGTGGGAGGACGTGCTGTAATGACATGAGAACCCCCCCCCCCCCCCCCGATTCTGGACATATGTGTTTTTTATATGTGTTTTCTGACTGGAATAGTCAGAATGTCCTTTCAAGGGAGTATATCCCCCCCTCTCCCCGCCCTCCAGAGGTGTATCTTTAGCCTCCTACATACAAGGGGAATGTTGGCAGGGTTGGAGCCAATGTGTGTGGCTCCTTGTTTTGTGTGAGCAGAATCTCAAAGCGCAGCAACACGCTGTCTGTTGAGCTCATTGTGAGGCTGCAGCCACTATTGTTCTGCAGAACTACTACAGAGTGGAGGATCACAGGGCCCCTGCAGAACCATTTTGGAAACTGCTTTCAAATATTTGATTGAGAATAAAAACAGCCAGACAACTTGTAATACCTTGTCACTCGGCTACAGCATTGTTTGAGATAATAATTGAGCGATCGCTCACTACACTGACGTTCCACCAAATTAAGAATTAAACTGCAGCTTTTCAAAATCAGATCACAAAAGACATTAAACACCCTCCAGGGATTTGCCGCCGTAGGCTACAAAGTGCTTTGTGTAATTGTGCCGTGGAGGGGATGTGTCCCCGCTCGCCTTTTGGTTGATGCACTGATCCACCTTTTATCGAACGGCTTGCTCTGCTTTTCTCCACCGTGGTACTTCTGCACCACGGTTCCTTTATACGCAAACTTGTCGTAGACATTACTGAAGTTATTTTTTTTGCCTTTGACTCTTTCTACTTGCTTCTGTTACACCATGTTCTAACATACATACGACATAGAATATCCACACCGTCCCATAAGCGCTGATATTGTGGTTAGCTATTTTTACAAACTTTTGTAACCCTCATCGAGCTTATACTCGAAATGACTTGAAGCTTCCGCTTCAACACACGTCTATGTTTCTTTTTGTCGAAACATAAAGGAGTGGCTGATTGAATAAGACGTTATGTAAACTTCCCCCTCCAGCTGTTCAACATTGTGGTTTTAATATTAGCTATCAACCTTCTATTTTTGAATAGCTGGATTGTTGGAAACTATGATGATGGGTTTTCTCATTTCTGTGCCTTGGTCCCAGGTCACCTGGAGTACTTCTCTCCAGCTTTTTCTAATGCGGAAAAAGCACACTTGGATATATCATGTCCGCCCATATCAATGTCCTTGAGGCAAAGAAGAGCCCAAATACCTCAACATGAGCCTCATTAGTATTATTTAGCACACGGAGGCCCCTTTTGGCAAAGAGGCGTTGGTGAGTGGGAACACTTTAAAGGATCAGACACTCTGTCATGGTCTCGGAGGGCAGCCTGATTCATTGATTTTGTCCGC